CCAGCTATTGTTGTGATGCTGCAGCCCTGTGGATGGATGTGGTGGGATGTTGTTGAGGCCCCATGGATGTGGAGATGCCAGGGCTATTGGGCTCAGGGCAGGATGCACTCTCATGGTGACTCTGCTCTTAAAATGGTGACAGCCTGGGTCCTGGAGGGTGGTGGGGGACAGCATGNTCTATGATCTTTTTATATTTTTTGACTTAAAGTCTATTTTATTTGATACAAGAGTAGCTACTCTGCCCATTTTTGGTTTCCATTTGCATGGGACGTCTTTTTTCATCTCTTCACTTTCAATCTTTGTGTGTCTTTACAGGTGAACCGAGTTTCCTGTAGGTAGCATTTTTAAAAAAAAATCATTCAGGCAGTCTTTTAATTAGGGAATTTAAATTGTTTGCATTTAAGGTTTTTATGAAAGGTGTAAACTTACTCCTGTTATTTTGTTAATTGGTTTTTGGTCATTTTGTATATCCTTTGTTCCATTCTTCCTCTCTTGTTGTTGATCTTTACAGTTTGGTGGTTTCTGTAGTGATAAGGTTTGATTCCTTTTTCTTTCTCACTTGTGTATCTGCTCTACCCATGAGTTTTATTCTTCTATGTGTTTTCATGTTGGTAATTATTGTTATTTTACTTCCAGGTGCAAAACTTCCTTAAGGATTTCTTGTAGAGCCAGTCTAGTGGTGATGCATTCCCTCAGTTTTTGCTTGTCTGGGAAACACTATTTCTTTTTCATTTCTCAAGGATAGCTTTGCTAGGTATAGTATACTTGGCTGGCAGTTTTCTTCTGTTAGCACTTTGAATATCATCCTCATTCTCTCTTGGCCTGTAAGGTTTCTGCTGAAAAATCTGCTATTAGTCTGATGGGAATTCCTTATATGTGCCTTGATGTTTTTCTCTTGCAATTTTTAGAATTCTCTTTGTCTTTGACTTTTGGCAGTTTAACTATAATGAGCCTTGGAGAGGACATTTTTGGGTTGAATCTATTTGGGCATCTTTGAGCCTCCTGGATTTGGATGTCCATATCTCTCCCAAGACTTGGGGAGTTTTCAGCTATTATTTTATTAAATAGATTTTCTGTGAATTTTCTCTTCTCTTCTTCTTTTGGAAATCTCATAATGTGAATATTTGTTTACTTAATGTTGTCCCATAAGTCTCATTGGCTTTCTTTATTCTTTGTAATTCTTTTTTTCTACTTTCTTTTTGTCTGACTGGCTTATTTCCAAAGACCTGTTTTCAAGTTAAGAAATTCTTTCTTCTGCTTGACCTAGTCTATTGTTGAAGCTCAAAGTTGTATTTTCTCTTTTTATTTCATTCATCACGTCCAAAATTTCTGTTTAGGTTTTTTTTTTTTTTTAATGAGATCTTTCTCTTTGTTGAACTTATCATTCAGATCACGAATTTTTGGACTGGTTTCATTGAATTATCTATCTATTCCTTTGTATCTTTCTGAGTTTTCTTAAGATTATCCTTTTCAGGCATTTTATGGGTTTCCTTTTCTTTGGGATCTATTACTGATGAATTATGATGTTCCTTTGGGGGTGTCATGTTTCTGCTTCCCCTCATGTTTCTTTTATCCCTATGTTAATGTCTGCACATGTGGTGAAACAGATTCTTCTAATTTTATGGAATAGCTTTTGTAGGAAAAGATTTTTTCCTGTAGATGTGCCCTATAGTGTTGGTTGGGTAGGGTGCTTTGGCTTTGGTTCTGGGTGGGCTCAGTAGTGCAGGCTTAGTTTGATTTCTTTGTGTGCATTCAATGTCAGAAGTGTCTTTGAGTGCCCCAGTGACCTAGGCTGCAGGTGTTTGTGGAGGCTGTGGTGTGGCTTTGCTGGGGGTAGGGGCAAGCAGGTGGGTCAGTTCTGGGGCCCTGGAAGGGCATACATGGGTGTATGGCAGCTTGGCTGGCCAGAGGGGTTGTGTTGCTGGTGGCCCTAAGTGGGCCAGTCCTTGGTTCCTTGGGGGTTGGGTATGTGGGTGCATGGTGCCCCCACTGCTAGACTGGGAGGGGTCGCTGACAGTGGGGGCCTGGACAATCAGTCTTTGGGCCCTGGGGATCCATGTTGGCATGAGGTGGTTATGTTAAAGAAGTGGGCAGTATTTTTAGCTGTGGGGGGCACCAGGTAGGTCAATCGTCAGGCCCCTGGGAGGATTGTCATGGACACTCAGTGGTTTCACCACTGGAGGGGGCAGGGCTGCTGGTCATGGTGGCTGTGGCAGGCCCTAAGTGATCTGCTCCCAGGCTCTGGGGAGTGTGCACATAAGCTCTGTCTTGGGGGTGGCCTCTCTGTTGTGCTTAATCACCTGTTCTTCAGGGTGAAGGTCACTGTGTGAACTCAGGTGCCAGGTTTATGGCTGCACCACTGGGTCCAGCTATTGTTGTGATGCTGCAGCCCTGTGGATGGATGTGGTGGGATGTTGTTGAGGCCCCATGGATGTGGAGATGCCAGGGCTATTGGGCTCAGGGCAGGATGCACTCTCATGGTGACTCTGCTCTTAAAATGGTGACAGCCTGGGTCCTGGAGGGTGGTGGGGGACAGCATGTATTTCCTCTCTGGAATAATGAAGTCACATGGAATCTAGGCAGCCCCCTATACAGAGCTCAGGGACTGCAAGGGCTGAGGGGCTCTCTTGTAGCTAGGATTGCAGATGTTCATGGTGGGAATGTGGACTGCTGGGATTTTCCACTTACCTTTTCCCTGCAGCGGGAAGTCCCTTCTGGCTCTGAGATGATCCCAGCTTGACACTTCCCTTCCCTTTCTAAGCTGCCATCTTGAGTCTGCATGCCTCAGGGGATCTTCAAGGATATAAGCAAAATGTAGCTTTATGTGCTATGTGGCTGTAAGTAATTTTTTAAGTTGAAATCCAGACATCAGCTGAAGTCACCCTATACTCTGAGATTTACATAACTTTTGCTCAGAAAATTTCTTATCTCAAGCTTCAGAGCCATCAAAGGACCTTTTGTAAGTTTCAGCATCTTCCAGGCCTCTTGGAGCTATGAAACATGGCACCCATGGAGTGGTCAACTGTGGTTCAAAAATATTAAATAGAAAGTTCCAGAAATAAACAATTCATGAGTTTTAAATTGTACACTATTCTGAGTAGTGCGATGAAATCTCACACCATCCTGCTCCATCCTGCTTGGGACATCAATTCTACCTTTATCCAGCATATCACACTGTATATGCTACCTGCTCATTAGTCATTAAGTAGTCATCTCGGTTATCAGATTGACTCTCGTGGTATTGCAGTGCTTGTATTCAAGTAACCCTTACTTTACTTAATAATGACCCCAAAGTGCAAGAGTAGTGATGCTAGCAATTCGGACGTGCCAAAGAGAAGCCATAAAGTGCTTCCTTTAAGTCAAAAGGTGAAAGGTCTCAACTTAAAAGGAAAGACAAAAATCATATGCTGAGGTTGCTAAGATCTACGGTAAGAATGAATCTTCTATCCATGAAATTGTGAAGAAGGAAAATTAAATTCATGCTAGTTTTGCTGTTGCACCACAACCTGCAAAAGCCATGGCCACAGTGTGTAATAAGCACTTAGTTAAGATGAAAAAGGCATTACATTTGTGGGCAAAAGACATGAACAGAAACATGTACCAATAGACAGCAGTTGTGTTTGGTCTTATCTATGGTTTCAAGCATCCACTGAGAGTCCTGCAACGTATCTCCTGAGGATAAGGGGGGACTAGCGTATAGTGGCCCATAAAGTGTGCAAATATGGCAGGCTTGCCTTTAGTAGATGGCCTTTGGTTCACAAGAAAAAATATACATGTGACCCAAATTAATAAATTTGCATCTTGAAAAACATTGTTTTTAAGTAGGCAAACAAATCTGTTAATATAAAAAGCAGGAAAATTGGAAGAGTTCCTTTAAATTTTGGAAGGCATGTCTTGTACACAAACATTTTTGACAGCTTACTTCCTTTTGCTTTTCAGACAGCTTCCCTAGATCGCCTGCTGAGTAACAAGAGTGTCACTTCATGTACAAGCAGGGGGAGGTTAGGCTCACAGAATAAACACCACCACCATAGAAATGGACGGGGTTATCGGGCCTCTTTCAGATTTCATTTTCTTCACTAGAATTCCCCTGGATGGAGCAACAAAATTCGAGTCATGGAGCTTAACGGGGACCAGCGGGGGTGTTCAGCAATTCTCTGAGCTTTCTCATTGTGTGAAACCTCTTGCCAAAAGCACAGAAGTGCAGGGCTGCAGGAGCCAGAGGCTGGGCGGGAGCAGGAGGGAGGTGTGAGGAGTCCAATGTCGGGAAAGGACAGTGTCATGGATTGGTGGAACATTACTTCATCATATTGCCTGTTTTGATTAAGTAAAGCATTTTCTATTGCACAATCAAGGCGTGCCTTCTGT